ACCTAGTAAGTTTTTCAGGTTGCAGAGATTCGAACTGTAGTTGGCCACGTAGAATCCAGCTCCCTGCTACAATATGGGCTGGCCCCAAACATTTTTTATTACGAAGTTAAAGTATGGCCCATTGTGAAAAGCTGCAGAGAGCAGTGTCTGAGGAAATACATTTTTCAGGAGTTGGTCAATCCAAGACAATGCTCCTGGGTTTCAAACTAAGCCCGATTTAAAGGTAATGATGAGGTAAACAGTCGGGACCCTAAAGTCCCCCAAGAGAGTAACACTTGGGAGCAATAAAGACTGTGAGTAGTAGTGTTATTTGTTCTTACACAGGTATGTACTGTTCTTAAAGAACTACATACATTGTTCATCTTTTGATTCCAAAGGTAAGCCCTTTACTCTAGATATTACTTTAGTAGGAAAAGAAAAGAAAAGAAATGAAAGTTCAGCCTGTCCCAGCTTCTAGAAATGGAATTTACTTTCATAAAGAACTAGACCCTGAAGAACCTGTAGAACATATTCTCTCTCTTCATTTCCACTATAAATGTGGGGCATTCATTCATTCTTCCTTGATACGAAAAATTTAGAAAAACAGAGATCACGAGGAATGCTCTACGGCACACATATTTTCAACTCAATAGAGGTAAAAGAAATTTTAATATTTGTATTTAAAAGTATCAGGCTCTTCTGGTTGGAAGCAGCAGAAACCCACTCAACAAATTCCAAGTAAAAAGAGCCATTTACTGTAAGGGCATTGGGAGTTTTCATATGAAGTCGGGGGGAAAGGAGAGCCCAGGCCTCAGGAGGGCAGGAACAACGCCAGCTCTGTGGACGGAACCTGCTTCCCTCCACAGCCCTTCCCTCTTGAAACAGTTCAGTCTCCTCTTCCCCCGTCAGTCCCCCACGCCAACCCTACTGCCAAACGGCCTTCCTTAGTCTCGCTAAATTGGGGAGTGCAAAGAGCCCTGGAACAGCCACTCCAGGATTTAGTCTACATGATTTTCCAAATTCAATTCCTCAAGAAAAAAATGACATGAAGTCTCATAATTTCTCAATCACACATTCCTGAAAAGGAAACTCGAGTGCCCCAGTTTAACTTTTTTTTTTTTCCGCTATAGGACGTGTGCGCTCGCCAGACAGAGAGAGACAGAGAGACAGAAAGTGAGAAATCACCCCTCAGGGGGGATGGCCACGCCGCAATCCCTTCTCCTCCATTCTCCTCTCGGGATCTTGGGAATGCACGCACACGCGCCCGGCGTGAGTTTTAAGCCACCGGGTCCAGGACGCGAACCACGATCGACTACGTGGGAGTCCAGCAACATAGCCATTATGCTCACTGCTGGTCCCTGGTGTGCTCTTTCTTGGCACTGCGAACAATTTTGCTGGAGCACGTTTATTAAGAGGGCTGATGTAGAACACCACATCCCAACTAGCCCTCTCAGTGAGAACTTGAAATGGATTAACATGGTTTTATGGGCTCTCTCTGGCTCTGACAAAAGCAGGACAACCCACTGAAGACTCATTACAGTTTCACAAATTTTAATTTACACAAGCAGGTATAGTTCTCAATTCCACACTAAGAAAAAATGCTGCTGGTGCTCCCACTGCCCTTTTATAACTACAGGCCAGAAACAACGAGCACAGGGCCGAATAAGACACGCGACTGCGGGCCACGTGGAGGGGAGAGGAGAGGCGGGGAGGAGAGGCGGGCAGGTCTGGTTTACCCTCACAGCGCTCAGGGCATCAGCCTCACGGTCATGGGACTCCAGACTTCGACACGGTAACTGCTACTGGACAGCAGCTTCGACTTCTCAAACCCTCTGCCGTTCGTCACTGAGGAACGTCAACAATGCAGGCTGCCCTCGCCCAGTCTCTCTGGTAAGAGCCATGGAGGGCCACAGGAGGCAGGAGCTCATGGAGCTGCAAGTGGAAAGGGAGGGCCTGGGCAGGTCGGGATTGGGGGAGTGCCTGGGACTGTAGAAGCCCAAGGCCACAGCAGAGAGCAGCTGCAAGGAAGCTGAGAAAGCATTTTTCAGAGCAAGCCACTGATCCATGCCCATGGTGTGCTGACTCCCCTCACTGGGGGTCAGTGGTGGAAATCCTCTCACCCTCATCTAAGGAAGCAGCACCACCCTCTCACAGCTTTGACCCTAGCCCTGAGAGGCGAGCAGGTTTCCTTCTGAGAGTTATGACTTGAGGTTGTGGTCAGGACAGATCCTCCGAGTAGGATCTGAGAGCCAATGCTAGAAGCCCATAGCCCCACGTGCTCAGCTTGCTCAAGAAGCAGCGCCTGATCAAAAAAACCAATCTTACTGGCTTAAGGTGAGATGAATAAATAAGCTCTCAATCCTGACACTGTGACTGGCTGATGCAAACGAGGGACACTGGTCTGGGCTCTCAAGATTCCAGGGCTTCTTTCTAAAGGAGGAGTGCTAATTTTCACACATTTTTTAAAGAACTGTGGAACTTTAGGCCCAACAGGTGGAATGGTGATTAAGGCACTGGACTCCCAGATGGCTGACCACGGTTTGAGTCATGGACCTAGCAGACTGAAAAATCACGCGAGAGGGCCAGCAGATAGCGTAGTGGTTATGTTGCTGGACTCCCACATGGTCGACTGTGGTTTAAGTCCTGGACCTGGTGGCTTCAAAATCATGCCAGGTGCATGTGCGTGTGTGCCCAAGATCCCGGGAGGAGAAGAGATTGCAGTGTGGCCATTCCCCCAGGAGGCTGAAGGAATGATTTCTTACTTTCCCCTCTCTGTGTCTGTTTGTCTCTCTCTTTCTCTCTCCGGTGAGTACATGCGCCCTAAGACCAAAAAAACCCCACAAAAAACAAAAACAAAAAAATCCCACCTCTTAACAAAAGAAAACATGCCAGGTGTGTGTACATGCATGTCCCGAATCCCAAGAGGAGAATAAAGGAGAAGGGACTGCAGCATGGCCATCCCCCCTTCGGGGGGTAATTTCTCACTTTCCTTCTCTCTCACTCCAGCGAGCACATGTGCCCTATGACAAAAACCATCTCCCCGTAAAGAGAAAAGAAAAAAGAAAGCTATTTAAAAAAAAATAATAACTGTGGTAACCTCTCCTGTTCCCTAAGGAGAGGCACAGGTAAACCTCATAACAAAGTGCTCTTTCTACACTGAAAAAAATACAGCTTTGGGGAAACTGGTGTTTAATCTAGATTACCAGCTAGAGAATTCAGTGCCGTGTGTATAGAAGCTTACAAGAAAGCCAACAAACAAAACAAAGAACTCCAGATACATTTAAGATGAACAGTACGAATTACTAACAGTCCCCAAAGCACTGTCCCAAAGAGTCAAATCGAAGCATGCCGTTCCCTTATGTATTAGGTTGTGGGAAAAGTCACGATGTATTTTTCTGGTTTTCTTTGCAAATATGCGCCATGACTTTCCTGACCACCCAATATGGTGTGTTCCCCCTCCCTGCCTGCCTCCTTGCCAGCTAACACAGAATGAGCAGCGACACTATGTCCTGCAACGCCTGTAAACAAAGCCCATTTTGGTAAGGAACATCAGCTGCTCTGTGTCAGACAAACTCCCACGTCTGTCACTCCCTGGTGTGTGCAGCTCTCTGCTCGAGGCCGACGCTGCGGTGCGAAGAAACCTGTGCCTGCCTTCACTCAGCTCTGCTTTGTCAACGGTCCAAGGAGCCCAAATGAACTCGAGTGTCAGCAAGTCCGTACTTCGGGCTCAGCTGGTGGCATAGCGGTAACGCGACGCTCTGCCCTTCCTGCACGGGGGGTGGGGGGGGGTGTCCCAGGTTCACGTCCTGGAGCTTCCCGACATGCTGGGTGCACGTGTCCACAATCCGGGCTGGCGTATGCTGCGGGCAGGTCATGCCATGAGGACTCTGCTGGGGGTTCTCCTCTCTCAGTGGAAATAAATTTAAAACAAAAAACTTCATTGAAGAAGCTTTGCACTACGAGATAACTCATGTCCAGGAGACAAGATTGTCTTAAGCCAGGTCAGACTGCTATAGAAGACATCTCCCACCTGACATTTACAAAGTGCTCACACATACATTACGTCAACTGGTCCTACAGTAGCACTGTGTGGTGAAAATGATGAACCACATTTTTCTCAATGAGGGAGCAGCTGCAATGAAATTAAGGCACTTGCTAATTGTCCTCAGCAAGTTACTAGCAGGGATAAAACTGGAATACAGGTTTGTCTGACTACAGAGTCAGTCCTGTTTCTATTTTACCACAGTGTCCCGCAGGAATAAAGACAACACACTCTTGGAATTTCCTCCTGTGGCATTCAAAGGACAAATGAAGCATGTACTTGTATTATCTAAATATTACAAAGTGCTCTCGGTATATAAATGAACTTTTATAGAAACTTCTCATTTCAATTCCGTGAGAGTCTCCACAAAATACCCAAAAACAGCGTCTGCTACAATTCGAACCTTGTTACACCAAGGAACATAATACTTCTGAAATAACACTGTCTCCTACTGAAACGCGGGTGGCCAGGGACTAGGGACTGGAGAGCGACTTACGGGAAAGGGAGAGCAGCTAGTAGTATAAATGCCGCCCAGCACCTTACGACAAAGAGCAACTGACAGCAGTCTCGGTCTCTGCTCTTCCTGCATGTTGGGGACTTCCTCGAACTCCCTCGCTCGCCCTTTGTTAAAGTACTTACTTCTTTTTTGTATGCAACACAAAAAGTTCACTTTCTGTTCCTACCATTCATTTCTGTTCAATTTCTGGAAGCAGAACTGCCCAGGAGTTCATCAATTTTTGATTTAGGATTAGAACAGGCTACAGACAGAAGAGATTTCCCTTATAAGGCTTTTTAGGCTCGACTGGAGTTTTGTAAGTAAAGCTGAGCACCTCTGTTTGTCTCCCTAATGGGGAGGGTAAGCTTTTGCTTTTCAGGCCTGAATACACATGCCATTTGCCTTCGGTCCCCATATGGAAACCATAGGGCAGAAACGACTCACAAATGAAACGTGAAAGACAGATTAAAAAACTATACTTACTTAGGAGGAATTCGTGAAGCCGTGTTCGTATTTGTGGCTGGGACCACTGCTTGAAGGATGTGTTCGAGGGCTGTTAATCCACCAGCAACTTGAAATGCAATCTGATCTGCCACATTCTAGACAGAAACACAAACAGAAGTGAGCCCAATTCCCAGGCATGGAATGATCACCGAGTGCTATATTTAATTGTAGTCTGAAACGTTCTGTTGGCTCCATTATTCCAGAAGAATTTGTTGGGTGTTTACTCAGTGCTAGGAAATGTAGGTCGATGGGGACGTAAAAGACGTGGCCCTGCACCCTAGGAAGCTTGAAATTTTAGTGAACGGGATCAGTGCTGATCAGATCATTATAAATAAGGTATCTTTAATTCTAAGCACCTTGAAGAAAAAGAAAAGCTCCCCTATGAAAATCCTGGGGGAACCCAGGAAAGGGTCAGGTGAGGCTTCTCTGAGAAAATCGCAGATTAAAGACAGGCAAAACAAGTATGAGAACATTCCAGGCAGAGGGAAAAACCTTTTTCTTTTTTAAAGTAATTATTTAATTCCAGTTATTGTTGTTATTATTATTATTATTAATTTGACCCAGACAGACAGAGAGAGAGAGAAAGGGAAAGCAAGAAAGCAAGCCACGAGGTCCAGGACTCAAACCATGGCCGGCCATGTGGGAATCCAACACTCTTACCCACCACACTGCCTGCTGGCCCCGGGAAAAAACATTTTAAACCATAGTTTTTAGCAACACTTATTAAAACCACATCACATTGTAATCTTAACAGATACCACCTAATCAGATAAACTGACTTCCACAAAGATTTCCTCTAATAAGTTTTTCCTCAGTAACACAAGATCTAATATCTAACCATTTTAACTCCATCTTTTTAAACCACTTCAGCTAGTTTAGGGAGAATATTAAGTAACCATTTTAGAATTCAACCTATCAGCATTTCTATATGATTACGGAACGTGCACAATTCTTTTTTTCTTTTTTTTTTTTTGAGAGGTTTTTGCTATAGGGCGCATGCGCTCGCCAGCCAGCCAGAGAGAGACAGAGAGACAGAAAGCAGGAAATCACCCCCCCCGGGGGGGGATGACCATGCCGCAATCCCTTCTCCTCCATTCTCCTCTCGGGATCTTGGGCACGCACACACACGCGCCCGGCGTGAGTTTAAGCCACCGGGTCTGGGACTCGAACCGCGGTCGACTACGTGGGAGTCCAGCGACATAGCCATTGTGCTAACTGCTGGTCCCAGAACGTGCACAATTCTTGAGAAGGAACTTCTCCCAGTCCTTTGCACCCCTCTGGCGTGGGGAGGGGAGGGTGACCCTGCGCTGCAGGGCAGCAGTTCCCGACAGGCAGAACCACTGCGTCATCTAGGGAAAACAGGACAACTACCTGCTGAGGCCTAAACTGTGCCCCTAATTCACGTGAAGTCCCAACCTCCAGTACCGCACACTACGACTGTACTTGGAGATAAGGTCTTTAAAGAAATGACAAGCTAAAATAAGGCCATTAGGGTAGGGCTCTAGTATATAGTCAGAAAATAATAACCTTTGTATTATCATATAATATACATAGAAGTAATTACACTAATCATAAGTATGTTAAAAGTTGGATGAGGTTTTATTTTTGGTTTGTTTTTGTTTTTTAAGTTTTTGCCATAGAGCACATGCGCTCACCAGAGAGTGAGACAAAGAGAGGGAAAGTGAGAAATCACCCCCCAGCAGGGATGGCCACACAGCAACTTCTCTTCCATTCTCCTCTTGGGATTTTGGGCACACACAACCAATGTGATTTTCAAGACGTTGGGTCCAGGACTCGAACCATGGTCAGTCAGGTGGGAATCCAACACCTTAACTACCGTGCAACCTGCTGGTCCAAGGGTAAGTGGTTTTTTTTATTTGTTTGTTTGGTTTATTTTTGCCTTTTTTTTTTTTTTAAGAATTACTTTATTTAACTTTATTGATTTATTTGAATTTGACCAGGAGGAGGGGGAGAGAGGAAGCAAGTCGCCAGGTCTGCAAAGCACAGTCGGCCATGTGGAAGTCCAGTGCCCCTAACCACCACGTCACCCGTCGGCCCCTGGGTGAGTTTTAATAAACTGAACACACTCTGTAACAACTCCAAAATAAATAAGCTTTCTAGCATGCCCAAATCCCTGCCATCCATCCCATTCATTCTCTCTCCTCACTAATGTAAAGACTATTCCCGATATTTAAGATCATGCATTCATTTTGTGTTCTTTGTAAATCTATAAAAATAGAATCCGACTTTATATATTTTCTTGCTCAATTGTTTCTCCGTGCATACAAGCTGCCGCCTCTAGCAGTATTTCATTTGCTTCCCTTGCTGTATAGTACTTAGTTTCCTGGACACCTCAGTTTATGTAAGTCAGGGCATTTTGAAACTCCGGACAACACTGCTTTAAACATTCCTGTACACCTTCTTCCATGCACACTCCCGAGCCCGCTGGCATTCAGAAAGCCCTCTGTGAAACTACCTGCTTTGTTTTCTGGCCTCAGAGCCCCTTTGAACAAAGTTTTCAAAAAAAAAAAAATTTTTTTTTTTGGAAAGGTTTTTACTATAGGGTGTGTGCGCTCACCAGAAAGAGAGAGACAGAAAGAGAGAACTTGCCCCCAGGGGGGATGGCCACGCCGCAGTCCCTTCTCCTCCATTCTCCTCTGGGGATCTTGGGCACGCACGCACACGCGCCCGGCGTGAGTTTAAGCCACCGGGTCTGGGGAACCACAGTCGACTTCAGGGCAGTCCAGTGACACAGCCACTTCGGTGTAGTTGTAAACATGGAGCAGCCAATCCTTTCTCTGGTATGATCCCAGAAAACAATACTCCACTTTTCATGTGTTTGCCTCACAGAAAAGTTTTTCACTAGAACTGAGCTTCAGGACTGAACAACGAGATTGGGTTTTCAAGTCTGAAGGACACGGTAAGCTTGAACCTCCATAACAACCATGGAGGAAGGCACTAAGCCCTCCTGTCCCGTCCCCATCTCTGCAAAGCCTTTGTACACAGGTACCGCTCGGCTCCAAGGCAAGGCACCCCGAGCCTCAGGCCAAGCAGAGGCACCAGTGACCAGTCCCCACAGGAGGCAGCAGCACGCGGCTGTCCCTCAGACCTGTCCACCATGAGGAAAAGGCCACAGTGCACGAGGGGCGGGGAAAGGGACTGAGGAAACACAGACTGTTTAATGTATACATCTATGCCTTAAAAACAAAACCAAACAAAACTCAGAGCCTTTTATGCAGTGCCAACAACCTGGATGTGACCTTGTGAAAAACTAAGACACGGGCTCAACAGACATTAAGCAGGACAAAATAAGCCAATTTCGGGAGATGAAGGCCATTTGAGGCCAGTTTTTAAACTAATGTGCTGAAAATTGAGCTTCCAATTTATCATTTGTGGCTTTTCAAGGAAATAAAGCAAGAAATAAAACCAACTCTGAAATTAAAAAAATGCTGGGGCCAACAGGTGGCATAGTGGTTAAGGTGCTGGACTCCCATATGGCCAACTGTGGTTCCAGTCCCAGCTCTGGCAGCTTGAACCTCATGCCAGGTGTGCGTGCATATGTGCAGGAGAAGGGACTGCATCATGGCCATCCCCTGGGGGGTGATTTCTTACTTTTCTTCTCACTGGCTCTCTGTGTCAAGTGCACTAACCTTATAGCAAAAATCTCTCTCAAAAAAAAAAAAAAATCTGTGAAACCTCTCCTTGGAGTCAAGGTGGGTTCTAGTGATGTGTACTTCTGGGTCAGAAACACAATAAACCACTGTGGGCCCTGCCTAAAGCACGGCCATGCTGAAACACGGGAAGGTGACCTCGGGACTTCGTCACCCTACCTCAGCTCCTGTGCATCCCCAGCCTCTCCTGTCTGCAGACACCTCGAGAGGGATGTCTGACGCATCTCTGGAACTGCACGCTGCCACAGAACAGGGACGGTAAATACCAGAGAGCTGAGTGGCTGAACAGAAGAATGCACCATGAAAGGGTTTTTCTCTCGGAGCACAAAACTGTCCCGTGAGTTGTCCCAGATGAACATGATACAGAGGCGTGTCGGTACGAGGAGGAGCTCCTCCCGCCAGACCCCCTTTCCTCCTGCAGCACAGATGAACAGCTCTCCCCACCCTCTAAGATCCGAGATGACCTGTTCACCTCAGGGGACAGAGAGGGGAAATCAAGCTACCCGAATGTTAAAATGAAGGGGAAACCCCTCAAGTATGTGGCATTAAAAATTTGCAAAGCCAAAAGGAAATAAATGATGCAGGTAGACCTGAAGGACCAGACAGTCCCCACCTGCTCCTCCCCATTCCCACCCCAATGCCTCTCGTGCCAATCACGCGGCACCTCCCACTGCTGCGCCACATGTGCGGGTGCCGAGTGTCAGGAAGAGATGGGTGCTCTCCAAATGTGCCCTCTTACACTTGTCCCCGTCCCTCCCAGGACCCAGGAAAAGCAAGCACTCTACAAATGCTTAACCGTGACCCTTGTCTCCATCCAAACCGCCACCCCTCAACCTGTACCGTTCAAATGCTGCCTCAATCCCTTAAGACCCAGATCGAATGTGGCTTGTTCCATTAAGCCTTTCCTGATCCCCTCAACTAAAGTCAAAGCTGTTTGTATATTTGATTGCATTTCTTTCATGGCCCTTATCACTTTCTACTTTGCCCAAAATCACTTGGGTCCATGTACTAGACTGTGAAGTCGAACTCTCCTTCCTCTCTCTGCGTTTCCACACACAGTTGGGCAAGAGATGCCCACACTGCAGGTTCCAAGCAAAGCTTGGCCAGTGACTAAAACCATCTCATTCTAGAAAGGCAAACTAGGTACCCCCTCCTCCTGCCTTTTGACTCTTTTCCAAATACTGTGCATGCAGATGTGTGAATGTAGAAAACAGCTTTCACAGAGTACAGTATGAGTTGATTGAGAAAAAATACCTGTAAGCAGGAAACGTGTGCCTTCCCTGTGTACCTGGCGAAACACCATAGTGGTGGGCCTTCCCCTGTGCTCTCCCACTGCGAGACTGACAACTGACTAATAGGATTAGCAGTTCCATTCTAATCACCCAGCTTAGCTGAAGGCCTCCATAGGAGTCACACGGCCTGGG